GAGAGAGAGAGAGAGTGCGTGATCTCTCAACCGTGCAAAAGTAGATTAAGCCGACCCGTTGATCTTCATTCCCATTTCGGATGGGAGGGAGGAGATATTGTTTTCAAGGGGTGGCCGTCTCCTGCAGCATTGTCTTGCAAACTACCACGTTTGTGGCGTGTGTGTGTGTGTGTGTGTGTGTGTGTGTGTGTGTGTGTGTGTGTGTGTGTGTGTGTGGTGTGTGTGTAAGGGCAGCACTACGATGTTACTCATCAAAACGTGAGATACAATAGACCATTCCGCTGAGCCAAAAAAGAAGAAGAGAAGGAAGAAGCAAAGGTTTCGTTTAGGGCTGATAGGGCCGATTTGTGAGTGATTCGTTGTCTTAAAAATATAACATTTGCTCTACAAAATCATTTTGAACATGTAAGAGATGCAAAATGCTGTGGTAGAAGGTCCATTAAGGCCCAAAAAATATATTATTTGCTTCTTCCTTCTCTTCTTCTTTTTCGGCTTAGCGGAATGGTCTACTGATGTTTTATTTAACTTAATTGGATCCGATTTTTTATCGACTCGTGTTTGTTTTAACTTTTAACGACGATGTTTTAGTCTTTCCTTCTGTCGTGCGAAGGGGTTGTCTGTGATATAAAGTCTCCTTGGCTGTCCTCGAAGCAAAGGCCGGCATCCGTGCCCGATCGGGTCCCACTCTGAGCGCGCGCTGTGCGCAGTAGGTGTGCGAGAGAGACAGAGCTAGAAACCCGAGGTGCCGGATGAAGATGTGTCGAACCTTGCCGATTGCACCCGAGCAAACGGGACCCGTTTGGGAGGCCCGGCCGGCCCGGCTGGTCACCTGAGGGCGTGGCACGGCGTGGCGCTGGCCTGACTTTGCCTACGCGCCACGCCACGCCACGCCTGGCCAGCAGACGGGACCCGTTGACAAGCTCGAGTCTCGGCGAGCAAGAGCGAGCGGGAGGGAGCGGGCAAGGCGACAAACGAGCGGGCAGCGATCGAGCGGGCAGCAGCGCCGAGTGAGCAGCAACGAGCAGCATTCGGGCACGGATGCCGGTCTTTGCCTCGAAGACTGCGTGAAAAAAAAATATGTATACAAGGGTACGTTTGGTTTTGTTAATGTACCTTCGTGCATTCATGCAAAACTTCCCCGTCGTAATTTTGAACAATAAACTAGAAAAATTGTAAACCGTATAAAAGGTTTCGCCTGACTCCCACTTACTTGACTTCTTCACCGCTGCTAATGTCCATCCACACTCTCCTAGAGTCTTCGTGGCCAGGGGTATCGCCAACAGCAGCGCACGGGGCGCGGGAGTATTCGCACAGGAGTGCAGGCACCTCGACTCGACCCCCCTATCGCACTCTGGCTATTTCAGACGTGCAGCCTTATTTCACCGACGACTACCTATGCCTCCCCCCTCTATACCTCACTTCGGCCCGCTTCGACCCTAAAAGCAAATTTGAAATCTGCCGCGCTTCACCGGAGATGAGGTGTGTGTGTGTGTGCCGATGTTGATCGCCTCACTTCGCGCCGTTTACGACCCAATAA